AATTTCATTTCAATGTCTAAAAATCTTAACCCAATCATAAGATAGAAAAACCCTTTATGAAGTCGTCAAAAAAAACAAATTGTAGTTCAGTGCGACGCGTTTATGTACGAAACAGCACTTTCGAAAAAAAATAAATAAATAATAAATAAAATAAAACTCTTTAGACACTTCACGACGTATTATGGTGCCAGCAGCTATCTTTCGCTGTGACTGACCAGACGATGTGCGTACATGAATGCCATCATTCGTTTTGAAATGAACACATAACCCTACCTCGCCTTGACCTCTTTCCGAAGGTGACAGATATGTGGATAGAAATGAACTCTTATGTCCCTTATACGGTCGCTCTAGCCGTTTCCATAGTAATTAATTTTGCGAATGAACATGCTTAAAAAGATGCGTAAATTTCAAGATTGGTTAATCCTAAATTTTCGCTTCAGGCTGAAACAGGGCTTGATACTTTAATTCAATTTAATTTCAATAATTATATTGAGGTTTTCGGCTCTTGTTTTTGAAACATGAGTGAGTAGCGAAGGAATCATATTTTTTTTAAATAATTATAATATATATATATATTATAATTATATATAGGTAATAATCCGTGGGTATATAATCCAAGTGAATCCTAATATGAAATATTAAAACTGATCCGAAAAAAGTGCTCAAGGTATTTTTTATGACAGTCAATATAAATGGCATAGGAAAGAAATTCAAAATGATCTCATTCGAATAGCTATTTCAGCCCACAACACTTACTTATAAGCCTTGTCATCTCAGAGGTGTGAAGAAATAAAATAGGAGCTTAAAATTTAAACATATATATATAATATGTCTATAATATATATATATATATATATATATATATATATATATATATATATATATATATATATAAAATTTGTATATATTTAAAATTTAAAATGTGTATATATATATAAAATTTAAACATATATATATATATACATACACACACCACATGATGTAACATTATCTGTACAATCGCCTGATATTTTTCTCTGTAATGGCTTATATCCAAATAAACATCTCTAGTCGTGCATATATTACACGCACGCATGCACTCTGGATACCAAAACAATGTCGCCTCCTAGAGTTTGCTTGGAACGGTCTTCACGGTATTATTTGACTTTAATGATACGTTCCCTCTGAGCGACGTACAGGCGAACAGACAGACGAGACAAGAGGATGGTAGATACATTGGTGCGGCAGAGTAGAAGATAATTCAATGTTAATTCAATCGTTGGTGTAACAGAGCGTGCGTTGCGTCTGAACTGAAGTCGATTTAGAAAGTTTGTTCAGTTGGAAACTCAGTAGGAATAATTGTTTTTCAGAGATGTTCCCGTCGTATGCTCTGATAGATAGATAGATAGATAGATAGATAGATAGATAGATAGATAGATAGATAATACAAAGTGGGATAGATAGATAGATAGATAGATAGATAGATAGATAGATAGATAGATAGATAGATATGAATACAACCAGATAGATTACATTCAACATTATCTCTCTTTTAATTTTGTATTTTGCACTTTTCCAATTTTCGAATGAATTGTTGCAAATCTCAATTAAAAAAGCGCTAAATTTCTAAAATTTTACCCCAAATCTCAATGTAAAATTGTCAATAAACTGTCGGAAGTTCCTGCCTTTGTTTTGTTTATGTCCAGCGTGTCGATCAAATTCTTAATGTTGTCAGTTTCGCTGAAAAAATATTATTTGATATAATTTGGAATTTAAAAAGAAGATACAATATCGGGTCTCATAACATCAGGAAACGAATATATTTAGTATTTTATCGGCTTATAAATATTTCACACAGATTTTAAATATTTTACAGTGATGTTCCCCCTGTACAAGGCGAAAGAGTTACTCAAGGTAGAGGATTATAGAGTGAGAAGCACCTTATCCAGCAAAGTGATAATGCCTCCAAAACGCAAGGAGACACCGGAAACTCAATCCTAAACAGGAAACAAGGGGTAAACATCTATCCATTTTCAAAAAAAAAAAACTGGGTAAGTGTGAAGCAAACGGCAGATGAACATATCTACTCCAACTGAAGAAAAGAAAACTTGTAAATAAATAATCAAAAAACGTTCGAAGTTTTGAGTCGAGACGTTACAAGTACAGAGTCGAAATAGAATTTAGAAGGAACCGGAAATCCAATCCTAAACCGGAAACAAAGGTTGTTTCTTTTGGTCGACAGTAGTTTCGTTAATTTTGAAATGTTCTTTACAATGTGGACTCTATTGTGATATTTCCGTTCTACGTTCTACAAATATAGAAATTTTCCAAGCGTAGCTTAGATGTGGCACAAGGCCGAAAGTATGGGGCATCCAGTGAGGATCGAACTTACTACTCAGTCGTAATGGTTCTAGAGGCTTGCTAACCATTACACCACGCCGATCTGCCCCCATTCTACGAATATATGTCTCATGCTAATAGCCGCCTTTTAATTGATTGTAACGCGATGATCTATGTGTGCACAATACGTTACCACCGGAGCTAAGAGAAAACGTGAGCCTTAGGGGTCACCAGCGACTGTTCGCATTATTAATATAAAAAAAGAATATCGGCGTCAAGATGAAGCTCCTTGGCCCGGAAAAAAAAACCTTCTTTCGGAAGACTCAGTGTGAAACCAGGAAACCAGCATCATCGCCGGAGATCTAAACGCCTACGTCGAAAAAGAACGAAAATGCGAAATAGTTGGCAAGTCGTGACTAAGAACGATCACGGCGAAATGATGGGTCGAATGGCGCACTTAAAAAGACCACCTGATTTCAGGCGTTTCCACGTCGCTCGCGAATCTAGAGAGAAGCCCGCGAGGAGACACAAAGAAACCCGGTCGATGATGTAAAAATTGAGAAAAGGTTCGGAAACGCAGCTTTACACCGCAAAACGTATCCAAGTGCCGACTGCGGGAGCGACCACCTTCCACGACGGACTCTTGAATGACCCAAGTTGCACGGAGCTTTATGTAGGCAGAGCTTAAAGAACATATAACTTTAGCGATACGGCAAATTCAAAGTGGAACATGTTGAGAGAAACACTAATGATATTAGCGAATGAGCTCATCCTGAGGAAAATGAGGCAACAGAAGAAAAAATGTATGACAAATGAAATTCTCGAGATGATGAAAAAGTGACAGCAAACAATGCCAAGGAATGGGAAAGAGTACCAAACGCTAAACGCAGACATTAGAAACAAATGTAGGCAAGATATAAAGGAATGACTCGCTTAAAAAAGGTGCGAATGATTGATAAAACGATTGTGCAGAAAAGAATTGAGGACAAATGTAGGCTCATCAACAGGCTCCATGAAAATCAAAAGAAACACTGACAACATAAAAAAAAATGAAAAGATACTCAGAAATGTAATGAATACGTCAATGAACTGTTTTAAGAAAGAAAGAAAAGAAAGAAAAAGAAAGAATCGGGCAGAAAGAAAGAAAGAAAGAAAGAAAGAAAGAAAGAAAGAAAGAAAGAAAAAAAAAGAACCGGGAAAGAAAGAAAAGAAAGAAAGAAAGAAAGAAAGAAAGAAAAAAGAAAGAAAGAAAGAAAGAAAAGAAAGGGGAGAAAGAAAGAAAGAAAATCGGGAAAAGAAAGAAAGAAAGAAAGAAAAGAAAGGACCGGGAAAGAAAGAAAAGAAAGAAAGAAAAAGAAAAGAAAAAAGAAAGAAAGAAAGAAAGAAAGAAAGGACCGGGGCGAAAGAAAGAAAAAGAAAGAAAAGAAGAAAGAAAGAAAGAAAGAAAGAAAGAAAGAAAGAAAGAAAGAAAGAAAAGGAAGGAAGGAAGGCGAAAGAAAGAAAGAAAGAAAGAAAGAAAGAAAGAAAGAAAGAAAGAAAGGACCGGGGAGAAAGAAAGAAAGAAAGACTGACTGACTGATTTATATATATATATATAAAAGTTTCTCTTCACGTAACAGCGGCGGGGATCGAACATCATGAGCAAGATTTACAAAACACGTTTGCTCACCACTAATATGACGCTGGATACCAGAAAGATAAATATATCAAGTTACAGATATTTACTCAGATTTTATTCTAGCAAACGGCTACATTTCTATCAATCTTCTAGAAAAGATCAAACCTACTACTTCTGTCATTTTTTACGACCGGCTCAAGAGTTTCACTATATTAAATGGCGGAATTTAAAACAAAAAAAAACATGCTTTGAGTTTTTCGGTGTTAT